GGCTGAGAAGTGACACAACTTGCTCCCAGGGCTTGGAAGTTGTGCAGTTGCCAACAGTTAAATAAGTCGCTGAGATCTTCTCAAGAGCCCTCAGACTCGCTGCCGGAGAAGAACTTGCCCGTAACTCTTGGCATCTTATTCGCTAAATCTTCCCTTTTCTGTGGAAAATTAGAGCCAGGCAGATCTCCTCTTAGTGTCAGATTCAAGTGTTGATAGAGCAGGAGGAATAAACCAGCACAGAGCTCTGGGTGAGATGCCAGAGCTCCCTTAAAGCTCCTTTACTGTTTCTTCCCGTTCCCTCTGGTAACTGAAGGAATGATGGGGGTGTTTCTTCTCCCCTCTTCCCTCCAGTTTTAAGCCTGATTTTAAAAATGCCTTTGTAATTTGAAATAATTATTTACTTTCCTGCCTTTGTCCGCGGTTAATCTGCTGTGGGATTTGTCCCTTTGATGTCCTGAGTTGACAATGAAATTTATCTTAGTGAAAGAAGAGACTGGGGGCATATGTCAGAATGCACAAGCACACAAAAAAACCCAATCTCTTCTTCTCAAATGGGCCAGGCTGGCAGGTTTTTATGCTGCATAAGCTTCAAAGGTGACAGCCTAGGAAAAAAAAAAAAGAATAGAAACGTAGCTTGAGTTGACATTAATTTCTTAAAAGACTTTTACAGTCTTTTTATTAATTTCTATTGGCCGATCCGCTCTACGTACAAGCTGCATTAATATGTGGTTAATGAATCACACCCCAAAATGCTTAGGGACTTCAGTTTCAGAGCAAAGTAGATTAAACTATGAAGATTGCTTCCCTTTTGGAAGTTCATGCAACAGCTTCAGATTTCTCTTCTTGAGAGCTTGAAGGTTCCCTGCTTTCATTGCCAATGATTTAATTTGATTTCCTTTAAGAAGTCGGTCCTGTTGTACTACTCTATGCACTTTTTAATGAGATTTGGAATATTAATGGAGTTTTGCAGGCAAGGCCTGGCAGACAACAGTGCATATAGTACATAATGATCCCTACAGAGTACAAGGGATAATAAAATGGCTATCCAAGATTTACAGTATTTTAATTATTTTTTTTTCCAAAGTGTAACCAGCTGATATCAAATCTCACTCTTAACCCCAATTATCAGAGTTACCAGCATCATTTTTCAAATCCTCTCTGGGTAACACCTAGCACGCTGGTCATGACTGTGTATGTACCAGTTACACAACCCTTCTCACAAATGGTAACATGTTTTGTTTCTTTTTTTCCTTGCAGTTTGTGGCCCATCCAAACTGTCAGCAACAGCTCCTGACTATCTGGTATGAAAACCTCTCAGGATTACGGGAGCAGACCATTGCTATCAAGTGTCTGGTGGTGCTGGTGGTGGCACTGGGCCTTCCATTTCTGGCCATTGGTTATTGGATTGCACCATGTAGCAGGGTACTGAATTTTCTAAATTACCTCTCTTGTCATGTTCTGGGAGCTGGTTTTCAATTTCTGGCAGTTAACATGCAGCATTGTACCTCCAACTCTGCTGCTTCCAGATTTTAATTAATTAATGATATTTTTAGCGTTCTCTAATCTTGAGCCAAAAGATGCTGCTTGTTTTATTTTGCACAGTGAAGAGGGGACTGCAGCGATGAAGCATGAAAATAAACTGATGTTAAGTTTAAAGAAAGAAAAAGAGCCTTCTCTGAGAGCTTTTTTTTTCCCCTTTTTTAAATTTCTGCAGAATGTGCTCACCTCAGAGTCTCTGCTACGTAATTATATCTGTATTACTAACGTGGATTTTTTGGAAGTCACTATTTAGATCCTTTATTAAGTCTCCTCTGATGGCATCTTAAGGTCTCATGCTGTTCCCACATAAACCATTAGCAGAACATCTGTTGACTTCACTGATGCAGAACCTAATCTTAAGTAAAATATTTGTTATTCCTGCCCTAGGAGGTCTGTTTACCAGCTGAACCACACAGCAGAAATTCAATGAAATGCAGTATTCCAACCACGTGATAGGATATATTTCTGAAAGGGCATAAGTGTAAACTCCCAGCTTTTTAAGACGATGTGGAAGTCTAAGGGTGCTTCCAGCTTTCCTGATCATCTCCCAGGCAAAGTAACGGCAGCAGTTTCTTTGGGATCCTGGTAGCCTGTGGCAGCACGTGAATTGTTTGCAAATGAAGTGTATCAATAGATCTTGGGTAAATCAGATGGAGGAAGATTTCTCTGTTACTTTAAAATTTTTTTAAGATGTTAATGTAAATTTACTTCTGTGCTGAATGTGTGGTCTTCCAATTTTATTTCCTTAACAAGCGTACAGCAAAGAAATGTGAGTTTCATTTATATTTCACTCTTGTAATTCATCTCAGGAAGGACACAATTTTCCTCTGCTTCTACATGTTTGAAGGGAACCTGATCTTTTCTCTGGCTTAAATATTTATTTATTTGCTTTAAAGATAAACCTTTATGGAAATAGTGTAATTGTTACTCTCATTATCCTCTGAAATGTCACTTTCCATTAATATCTTCAGTAAATATATCCCTCACAGCTCCATGTCATAGAAACATATGAATATATTTGTAGCTGGTGTCCAATAGGGAAAAGTGACATTTGTCCTTGAGCTTTAATTCCCAGTACCAGAAACACCTGATTTTTTTTCTAGCACTCATGTCAAACAAACTGCTATACATTCAGGTCAGTTGGTTGATACTGCAATTACAAAATGCTTTCTAAAGGTCAGGAGCAGGAAGGGAAGCTGGGACTGTTGGCACAGGGAGTAAATGCAGTTTAGCGTGTGCTGGTCTGCCTGGTTCCCAGCATCTGACCCAAATTCCAGGAAAACCATTCCTTGAAATTAGAGTCTGATATTCTGCAGGTCCTCTCCTTTGGTACAGACAGACTGCCCCTGCTGCTGCTGCTGCTGCTTTGTTCTTTTACCGGGTGCAGATGTGAATTGAACCCGCTGAGTTTATTTGAAAATCATCCATATTTCTGATCTTATTTTTCCTAGGCCATTTTGTGGAACAGTTCTTTATTTTTAGTAGGTACAGATATTTATTTGGCACTTCCAGTTCTGAACATATGTTCTGAGGATGGAGTACAGTAGCCAGAGACAGACAACTGTAATTTTTCCTAGAGCTATAGTCCCAGACAAGCTAATAGTACATTCTTGCTGGTAGGGAAAACATTTTGCTACTTGGAGATTTTAATAATTTATCTTTCCGTGGGCTTGCTTTACAAACTCCTTCTGGTCACTGCCGTTGTAGATCTGTAATTCCTTGGAGCGTTTCCCCTCAAACATTGCCATCTAGAGTGTATGGAATGACACGAATGCTCGGTAACAGGACAGCATATTCCACGGGGCTCCCTGTGGGAGGCCTTTTTCCGAAGCAGTAAAGCATCACAGCTCAGTGCACTTGGAAGAATATCCTTTAAAAATGAGCCTGCTGACTATCCTGAGCCCGTTTTATGCTTCTGGAATGCCTGATGTTGCTTTGAGCAAACTGAGTGACCGCTTTCATTCTGCCTTTGCAGCTTGGAAGAATTCTTCGAAGCCCATTTATGAAATTTGTGGCACATGCAGCATCCTTCATTATTTTCCTAGGCCTGCTGGTGTTCAATGCTTCAGACAGATTTGAGGGTATATCAACACTACCCAATGTCACTGTTACTGATTACCCCAAGCAGATCTTTAGGGTGAAGACCACCCAGTTCACCTGGACAGAAATGCTGATCATGGTATGGGTACTTGGTAGGTATAAAGGCCCTTTCATCTTCATATCAGTTGTTTTGCTGCAGATATAAATTCTAAAATATAAATTTATATTAAAAAAAATCTAAATTCTGTGAGGCTGTGATCTGGATTAAATCCATGTCCATTAATTTCTGAGGAGATGTTTGAGTAAGAAATCTGAACTGCACACAGCCAAATTCCACTTTCTATGCTGAAAAGCATCTTATTCTGTAAAGGGGAGAATCAGTAGTATAAACTGTGCCATGAATATTTGCTCATCAGTGAGAGGAGGGTTTTTTTCCCACATTTTACATTTTCCCTCCTTTAGAAGTACAGAAGTTATGCTGTTAGGTCATAACATTTCCACTGCCAAGTCGTGGCTCTATGCTACCCTTTGCGGAGATGCCTGAGCTCCATCCCCACTAATTAATCTCAATTAATACCTTTCTATTTGATCAACCCTGGTGAAACCAAGAGAGCCTTAGTCAGGGTGGGATGATGATGCTGTGACCAGAAAAATGAGCCAGTTTTTGCTCCACTGCTATTACCGGGTTTCGTGAAATCGGAGAATGCAGAGAATTTAAATGCAAAGAGTTTGGCAAACATTGCTATGCTTTTTAATTTCTTGTTGCAGGTATGATGTGGTCAGAATGCAAAGAGCTGTGGCTGGAAGGACCCAGGGAGTACATCCTGCAGCTGTGGAACGTTTTGGATTTCGGGATGCTGTCCATTTTCATCGCCGCTTTCACGGCGAGGCTTCTGGCATTCCTGCAGGCCACAAAAGCACAACAGTATGTGGACAACTACATCGAGGAGAATGACCTCTCTGAGGTCACCCTGCCTCCAGAAATAGAGTATTTCACTTATGGTGAGTTTAACTTTGCTGCAAAACAGATCTGGACACAGAAGAAGCTGAAGGATGCACTGGCATTTAGAAGCCTGAAGATTAATATCTGTGTGTGTTTGTGCTGATGACACAATGTAACCTCTTGTGCCTCGGTATTTTGGTTTCTGTGATATTTAAACAACAGTTTTTATGAGGCTAACTTGACAAATAAGTTTGCTAGAATATTAAAACCAAGTAATAGGCATAAGGAGGAAATAATTTCCAATGTAGCTGCCCATAGTTTTGTTGTATCTCTTTATCCTAGAGCTAAATTTGACTCCCTTGATTTTAAACAAGTTTTGTCTTGACTTCAAGGAAGTTATATTTTATTCTCGGCTTAATGCACAAGAGATAAAATGTGGATGTGATTTTTTTTTTGGTTCAGTTGTTTGATAGTTATTCATATTCATAACCATCTATTGGCATTTCCTCCCGAAGGAAGGATGCTGGCCAAATAAAGATCTGCTCAAATGGAATAAAAGTACTAAATACTTATTGCAGTGCAGAAATTGTCATTAAAGGTGTGATGAATATTTGCAACACGAGGCTGCTGACAGTGTATTTTAACATGTGCTTTATGAACTTCAGTGTATCCTAACGGCAGACTTGATTTTGTTATTTAACTTAATTGCTTTGCAACCAATCTGAATTTGTGAATATGCAAACACACATTTAGAAACACAGGGTATTTTGATACAAAACACATTTTAATACATATTTTGCTAAGATGATGCACGAATTCCCATAGTAATTTAAGAATTTCTACACAACTCAACGCTTTCTGTGCACATTGTTTGTGAAAACCCACGATCCAATTTCTTTTGAGGTGGTAGGCAAAAATCTTTATGATCACTATGGGAACAGGGTTATATCCTGAACCTGTAACAATAGCCAAGGCTTGGTGTGATTATTAAAGGAAATTGTTCATCAACCAACACTGTTAACTTCCCGTCAATGAAACACCAAAGAGGAATAAATTTCCTGCTTTAGGATAGTGCTTATTAAGACAGCTAATAATACAGGCATGTTGAGAAAAGCAGTAAGGAATCAGTTATTGTTATTTAGTTCAGTTAAAATGCAAACTGTAGAAGAGAATGTCATGTCTCTTCAAGTCTCTTTTTTCTTCCAGCAGAAGGTAATGTAACTTATTTTCATCATTTGTGACTTAAATGAAATAGGAATAGAATAGCAACTATTAGACTCTTCAAATATTTGTCTCAACTAAATTCGGACGTGTTAATGGAAAAATCCTGTCAAGACTTATTTCCCAGCGTTGTGACAAATGGGTAACCCCTGTGTTTTGTGTCTTCCAGCCAGAGATAAATGGCTGCCATCTGATCCTCAGATAATATCTGAAGGCCTTTATGCCATTGCTGTGGTCCTGAGCTTCTCTCGGATCGCCTATATCCTGCCTGCAAACGAGAGCTTTGGGCCCCTGCAGATCTCACTGGGAAGGACTGTTAAGGACATCTTCAAGTTTATGGTCCTCTTTATTATGGTGTTCCTTGCATTCATGATTGGGATGTTCATACTGTATTCCTACTACCTTGGAGCTAAGCTAAACCCAGCCTTTACGACGTAAGTCTGAAGTTGGGTTTTAAGTAAAAAGCCAATGTGAGACTTGCAGGTTTTTCACTGAGGTGGCAAAGTCTGTGAGATATTGTGTGCTGTCTCCTAGCACTAAAATAAAACTGAAGACAGCTGAAGCCAGGTGTCTCAGAACCTTAAAAACAGAATACAAAAGACCAGTTGTTTCCTGTTTGTATAATGGAAGCTTTCACTGCAGTCTAAAATGATTTTGCCTCTGTATTATTTTAATCACGCAGATGCGAGCAACAAATTGTACGAAAATATTACTTGATATCTTCTGAATGACCTAAGGCAAGGCTTAACCAGAAGCTCTTGAAAAGAGAGCAGCGGTTTCGTTCCCATCAGCCCCATTTCAACTTTATTAGGACAGGGACAATCTGCCCCTGCAGAGTTAGACTGGCAAATAATGAGATGCAATTATGGTTCATCTCAAAACCTAGATATGAAATACCTTTCTAGTTCCTGGCCTGTTGTTCTGCATGTATTGTTACAACTATATTAGCTCTGAGGGACAGGTGGAGCACACAGGAGAAATGGAATATACTGGGGAAAAGCTTCCTCGCCTGTTTGTTGATCGGTGCTCTGCAAACCTGCTGCGCAGACAAATTAATTGAGGTTGTTTATCAGTCACTGTGAACACAACTGATATTTATTTGTGTAGTTAGTAATAACACCTTCCTGTTGTGTTTGTTTGTTTGTTTGTTTGTTTGTTTTCCCTACAGAGTGGAAGAAAGTTTCAAGACCTTATTTTGGTCCATCTTTGGCTTGTCTGAAGTCACCTCTGTTGTCCTCAAATACGACCACAAGTTCATAGAGAACATCGGTTACGTCCTTTATGGCATATACAACGTGACGATGGTGGTGGTGCTGCTCAACATGCTCATTGCTATGATCAACAGCTCCTATCAAGAAATTGAGGTGGGCTCTGTTCTCAACTCGTTCTCTTTTGTTATCTTGAAAAATGGTGGAGTTGCTAGGACTTATTTCAGTGAGCACAACTCGATATGCAAAAGTATAAAGAAGAGATGACCTCAGTAAAGGATTCACAGAAGATATAGAACAGGGCTGATTTTTAACAACCCAGCCCAAGCTGCAGAACCTTACAGGATCTACAACAAAGAGTTCTTGTGCCTTGTATATGCAATCTAAGGAGATGTCATCCCTCCAGAAATCTTAAAATCTAAAGTAATACTGAAATGAAAGCTGCTGGGAAGTAGGAAACATGTTTGCCATATGCCCCAAAACCACAGTACTCCTTCAAATTTGCCAAATGACTCAGTTGGATAAATATTTAAATTTCACATAATGTTATTAGCTGCATTGCTTATGAAAAGAGATATATTTTTTTTGGAGTTTCATTATGATGACAAAGTATCTTCATTTTTAAAGATAATTTAATAGTGTATTTAGTATCCAACACCAATTAAAAAAACAAACAAACAGAAAATTTAAAGTAATGAAGGTACTTGAGTTTAAAAATTAAATTAAGTTGCTGAAATTAAAGTAAAAGTATATTTATAGTGCCAGCTTTCCAGACCATGAGTTCAAAGAGTACACCATTCACACAGATGCAGGCACACACCCACACAAACAGGAGAAGGACTGTCTAAGACACAGTGTATAAATGGTCAGTACTTTCAGTGAAATGTCTGGGGAAATGTCAGAGAATTCAGCAGGAATATATATTTTATAATAAATATATATATATTATTAAACAAACATCTCACCTTTGGAATAATCCAGGCCTAGCTTTGGAATACTTGAGTATTAGAATCTATTAGGACAGAATAAGTTTGTCAGTATTCAATGATTTCTTTATGAAAAGATTGTATTTTCTATACTCTGTTAAATCAGAGTTATTTATCGTGGTTATGTAAAGAGCTGTGAGCATGACCATTTTAAGCCCTGTCTGCCTTGAATCTGATACTCCACCAATTGTGTGGGTACCAAACTCATGTGACCTCTCCAGTAAAAAAAAAACAAAGCTTTTAAACCCACCAAAAGTTCCACTTTAAATAGCATGGCAAGGAGTTTATGTGTTGGCCTGCACTCAGTGCAAATATAATGCTTGTTTAAATGCTTCACGTGCTTGAATGAAGTATTATCAATGAAATGTTGCCATAAAGAGACAAGTGAAATTTGGTTAAAACAGCCTCACTCAAGTGGTTGCGTTTCTGCAGAACTCCTGCAAGTCTTACTGGCAAGCAAATAACGTTTTATGTAAAAACAAGAAAGGTCAAGACTTAAAAAGAAGTTTCATTGGAAAACAAGTTTGGGATTTCATAAAAACCAAGCATGTCCTCGGTTTGATTTCCCAACACAGGATGACAGTGACGTGGAGTGGAAATTTGCTCGTTCCAAACTTTGGCTGTCGTATTTTGACGATGGGAAAACGTTACCTCCACCCTTCAGTCTTGTACCAAGCCCCAAATCTTTTTTCTATTTCATCATGAGGATCATTAACTTCTCGAAGTGCAGGAGGAGAAGGCTACAGAAGGACATTGAGATGGGAATGGGCAATTCCAAATCTAGGGTGGGTACTGAAGTTTTTTCATTGCATTGAAGAATTTTGTGTGTCCATTCCAGCATTCTGCTTTTCTTTAAGTTTTAGGGTATAATCTGTGCTTCTGATGAGAGTACAGTAACTAGTAATTTATATTATTAACTTATATGTATTAATATTAATATAATAATATCAGTCTCTTAGTATTTCAGACTGCCTAAACATACTGTGTAAAATAGCCATAAATTTTATTAGGACAGCAAAATCCAAAGATTGGAGAAACACCTTTAAAACAAAAATTCCTGAGTATTCAAAGGTGCAGCTAATTCCCCACAAGCAGGTACTTGAATAAAGATGCTTTAAACCTTCATTAGAAAAATTTTTAGTTTGGGGTAAAAAAAGGGGGAGGGTTAAACTAACAGAAATGTCACTGATTCAGTGACTTTGAATTGGCCACACAGAAGATTGATGACAGATGCAGAGTAGGAGGTTGAACCTTCTTCTGTGGACACACCTTTTTTACTTCACCCTCACCAGTGTATCTGTGAGAAGAGTGAAGTCCCTGATTCAATGGTAACAAACCTTCTGCATTGGTCACAAAGCCAAGGTGGCCTTTTTCTTCCTCTCCTTCCAGCCCACTGCTACAGAAACCTTGAATTATTTGGAATCAGATGGCTTTGTGATCCTTGGATCACTGAACAAGGACCATTTTGAAAAATGATTCTTTGGAAAATCCCTTTCAGTTAAGCAGAACTGCTTTGGGGCATGTACATCCTTGCCTCCAAATTCACTATTTTCTAAAATTATCAATGCTAAAACAAACAAACAAACAAACAAAAATCCCACAAAACAAACCCAAGAAATAACTCAAGGCAATCTAATTTTTTAAAATAATATTCTGATATAGTGACAATGGAAACATCCCCAACACGTCTAAAGAATGGAGCTGAATTCTAACTGGGAATTATAATTATACAATAGATAGAATATACTTTAATAGATAATGAAATATTATGTATATATATCATATATATATTAATTTTGTCTTATTTCTTCCCAGTTAAACCTCTTCACTCAGTCCAACTCCAGAGTTTTTGAATCCCACAGTTTCAACAGCATTCTCAATCAGCCGACACGCTATCAGGTAAGTCCATGCAGTGCTCACTGTTCTGAATAACAGAACTGTGTGAAGGCACTACCAGAATTTTGTGTCTCAAGTACATTTTGCCTTCACCAGGTAAAGAAAACCTCCTGTAGAAAACAAACTCTAGGGTGCTACTGGGGGAAAAAAAAAAAAAAACAAACCAGACAATTATTGTTCAAACTCCATTATTTAAAGTGCTTCAAAACCAGCCCATGCATTACTTAAAATTTTCCTTTGATGTCCCAGTTTGGAAAGCATGAGAATGAAACATCTGAAACTGGTTTCTGGGGAAGGGCTGTGCAAGATGACTAGGTTGGCTAGTTGCCTTTCTTTCTCAGCATCCCAGCACAAAAGCCATGCGAGGCAACTGCTTGATCTGGGGCTTTTCATTCATTCACTTATGCAGATGTGACAGAGATAGTTAAGAAAGAAAAATGAATAGTGCCTAATTATATATGCTCAGCTGATTATGTAACTGCTTTAATCTGGCAGCAAATAATGAAAAGACTGATAAAACGTTACGTTCTGAAAGCACAAGTGGACAAAGAAAATGATGAAGTAAATGAAGGTAAGAAAGACTCTCTTTGCAATATTCACAGCCAATTTTGGAATCAGTATTACAGTGATGCATGGAGGTTTTGAGTAAAAAGAGGGATTATTTCTATTTCACGTGCAATGAAGCTCAGATAGTAGTAGAAAGATGCCTGTGATGTAAAAAAAAAAATGGAAAAGGTGGGCCAAAAAAGTAGAACTGAGAAATATTATGGGCCCCCTTTTACAGGTAGAAAATGAGAGCACAGACATGATGCACAGCTACAGAGGAAATTTGAGAGGAAGCCACGAACTGTACTCACACTTGCAGCCAGAGCTGCAGGACATCCTTCTCTCTGTTTCATTCAGCTGAACCACAGTTTACCATTTTACACCGTGAACCACTTGTTTTGCCTTCCTTTATAAAGCTGAGAGGAGTAGCCACCTCTGAAGCTGCACATCATTAAACAGAGCTCCATGGTCAGCTGCGTGGTGGGGAAAACCTGTAGCCACTCTTTTAGTGTGTGACCAGAGACCTTTTGAGAAGTGATGGATCTGAGCTTGGTGTGTCTTGACAGTGCACAACTTCCCTGCTAGCTGTGAGGGGTGTGGATGCTCCAGGCACAGCCCCAGTTCCTGTTGGGATGAGGCTGAGAAGCAGGGAGCAAAATAGGATTCAATTAAATCCCACTCTGTGCCTTCAAAAGGCAGCACTGTGCACTGACTGCTATCCTCATGAGTCCCCATCCTATGCTGGCTGCACAGAGCTGAGCTTGTGAGTGATAAAAGGAGAAAAACTCCTAAAAATGTCTTCCTCTCAGTGTGTGCCCTTCTCCTGATTCCCATTGCTCTCCTCCTGTTCCTGCTCTGTGATGTGGGAAATCATCTACCGAGTGAGTGATGAAGAGAGTGTTCTCTCCCCAACAGCAGCAGCAGGCACTTGCAGGTCTTTCCAGTGTCCTGCTGCCACTTTGCTCTGGGTCTATGTGTGTGTCTAGACAGTGCAGAAGAATCAGGGTTTACTGACATGATGTGACACTTTGTCACCGGTTTTTGGAGAGGAAGGTCCACTTTGAGCAAGGCAGGTAACCCCTGAATCTCACCTTGAGCTGCACAGCAAAGCTAATGCTCTGTGTCACGAGCATCTCCCTGGTACCCAAAGGACAGATCCAGCCTTTGAAGACTGGATTTTTGAAGTCTGCTACATTCTAAATAGGAAGCATCTGAATTGTTACGTACTGCAGCTATTTTAACATGTCTAGGGACTTTCCCCTGGTTTGTATCACTAGAGAATTTAGGTGCATTCTCAGAGTCTTTTATTTCACACAGGACAAATCCTTTCCTGAGGCAGATGCTGTGTAAGAATTCACAGGCCTCACGCTCACTGGAAGAACAGTATTTGAAAGTTTTAAAAAGCTTCTGCTCTTGAACTGAACACCCTGTGATAGAAAACATGTTATGAGCCTGGCCTTGACAGTTGGTTTCTTTTAAATGTGTTTTTTATATTTGTGCTAAATTGTAGTTCCATTTTAAATTGGTTGACTTTTTCTAATTCCAAGGATGTTGGTAAGGAAGAGGACAGAGACTCAGAAGCTGTGAGTTTCACTGCCAGCTCTGCCACACTTTTCCTGTGTGATCTTGGCACATTCCTTCAGAAAAAAAAAAAAAATCTCTGTCTTTTCTCTCTAAAAAGGGGATACTAATATTTACCAGCTGTTCAGCAGTGTTGCTGTGATTAATTCATTAACCTGTGTACAGCACTTTGTGAATATTTGGTGTTGTGTATACACCTGGAGCATAACATTAATGTTCAATGGACTTTTAAAATTTAGGTACTGTTTAGGGTTGGAGAGACACCAGCATCTCACTGAGAATGAAGAAGAGGTAAATCCTCCTGCCCCGTCCCGTACCTGCTCTCACAAACATTTTGGGATAATAACCTGAAACAGGCACTGACTGGACTTAACAGAAGAGTATTGAATGAATATCAAACTTTGCTAACAAGTGCTTCTTTCCATTATTAATACAGGTGAATTAAAGGAAATCAAGCAGGACATCTCCAGCCTTCGTTACGAACTTTTGGAGGATAAATCCCAAGCAACAGAGGAGTTGGCAATTCTAATACATAAACTCAGTGAGAAACTAAACCCTAATATGTTGAGATGTGAATGATTCAACAAAGGAACCGTGGCTTTGACTACAGCACAACTATTTATTGGCAATAATATTTCAGTATCTTATACTTGAAAAAATGTATTGTAGATTTTTAGCACTAAATAACTTTATGTACAGCTTCTATGGAATTTAGTCTTAGGAAATTTTATTAACTCACCACAGAAGGATTGCTCTCTTCATTTTACTTGTCTAAAAGCAAGAACTGTCATAACTTTTTTTTTTGTTTTTTTGCATTTATGCATTCAAAAAAGGTATAATGGTATCGATTTGCTGGTATTTTAACAGGTTTATGAGTACATACGGCGAATTCTTTGCACTAAATTTGCAAGAAAAAAAATTAACAGATGCAGCGTAATACTCTGTTCCTTGCAGTGACCAGGTACAAGTAGGAATTTTTCGTCATACAATAAACCAACTAGAGATCAGTGGAGGATTACTTGAAATATTTGTTCTTTATTAGCCACGAGTGTGAGCCCAGAACTCGCGGTATGACCGCAAGGGGTCAATGAAAGCCAGGTAAGTGTGGATGTTAATCGTAGTAGCACTGCTCGACAGGTCTGTATATACACGTACCCACAGCTGCATTTCTTAACTCAGCGTATTTACTTAGGCGAGTAAGGACTATACTTTTTTTTTTTTTTTTTTTTTTTTAAACCCCGCCATGTGGAGCTCACGTGAACTCGGTCCAAAGCTCCTCGTTTACGAGGTAGAAACGATTTAAAACAAAACAAAACAAACAAACAAAAAAACAACCAAAAAAAACAAAACAAAACAAAAAAAAAAACCTCGGTACTCCGTGCGGGGCTGGCATTTTGTTACACCGTTCCCAACGACGCTTCGTTGTTAAAATAAAACACTCCTCCTTTACCCCTCCCTCCGTGGTTTGGCACTCTAAGCCTGGAGAATCCGCAGGGAACCGCTCTCGGGCAGACGCCCCGCCCACCGGACGTGGGCCCCGCCCACTCAAGCGCGTCCTGGCCAATCGCAGCGCCCGGCCTGCCGCGGTCCCGCCTCCCGGCAGCCCTTCCAGCCAATGGGAGGCGGGCTGGGCGCGGGGGTTGCCGCGGTGACGGGGCGCGGGGCGCGCTGTGCCCGCGGCAGGGACGGACGGACCCGCATCCCGCGGCAGCGATGGAGCTGGGCCTGGCGCGCGTGGATTACCTGCAGGTGGGCTCGGGATCTTCCCGGCAGCGGGCGGGACCGGGGGCGAGCGAGGGTGGCCCGGGCGGACAGGGGGGAGCCGTGCGGCGGGGCCTGTGAGGTGCCCGGTGGCGGCCGTGGCCGCTCAGGAGCGTCTCTTCCACAGGTGGGAGTCACGGCGCAGAAGACCATGAGGCTCCTGCCCGCCTCCGGAAAAAAGGCCACGCAGAAGGTACCGCCCCGGGGGCTGCGGGCTCCAGCTCGAGGCTTTTCTGGATGGGGAGTGCGTCCCGATAATACCCTTAATCGTCCCCCCGGCATTCCTCGGGGAACGACTGCGCAACCCCGGTTTTGGAACGTTTTGGAAAACTTTTATTTATTTGGAAAAAAAAACCCAAAACAACTAAGTTGGTGTCTGGAAAGATCTGAGAATGAGTAAGGCATTGCTGAAACCACAAGGGAGTTCTTGCATGCTTTTCTTATTTTTGTATTTATAACACTTAAAACGAGAGGAAACGGCCTTAGGTTGAGACAGGGGAGACTGAGATTAGAGACTAGAAAAGAATTTTTCACGGTTGGGATGGACAGGAATAGGTTTCCCAGGGAGGTGGTGGAGTCACCGTCCCTGGAGGTGTTTAAGAGGCGCCTGGGTCTGGCACTGGGTGATGTGGTCTAATGGTTACCGTGGCAGTGCTGAGGTGGTGGTTGGATTTCGTGACCTTAAAGTTCTCTTCTAAGCTTAATGATTCTATGAAATACTTCTTTTTAAGTTTTCCTTAACATAAGTTCAAATGAAGGAAACCTGGTTAGGAAAACTCACTAAAAACAACAGTGTGTTTTTTTGCTTCAGTGATCAAGTCTCAGTATGAAAATACAGCTCTTCCCCAATACATCTTCACCCCGTTGGTTGCTGGCTTAGAAGCAGGAAAAGGATTATAAATGCTTTTACTTGAGCTGCTGTTCTTAGGCTTTAGTGTCCCATCTGGAGCACTTCATATAGATTTTTAAAGCACACTCCCCTTTGGCTATAGAATTAAGAACTCTAGATTTTAAAACCCTTTAATATATGGGAATATCATTAATGTTATCATAGATTATTTATGAGGGCCTGCAGTGACAGGACAAGAGGGAATATAGAAAAAGCATTATCTAAGAACACAGTTGTGTGTGTAATAAAAAATAACTGTGCATTATACTTTTGAAGGTGGTTGTTGGAGATCAGGATGGGGTCGTTACATGCTTTGGCATAAAAAAAGGGGAAGCTGTGGTAAGTTGGAATGTTCCATTTAAAATTTTATTTTTGAAGTATTCCTCCCAGTGAACTTTGAAAGTCTCTTTTTACTGACGTGGCAAATAAGGTACCGGTGGAAAGCGTCAAGGTAGAGCTGTGGACTGATACCTGATACTGTGGTGGGGGCAGGAGGATTTTATGGCTGGTCAAGCACATCCACAGTTTTGGAGTCAGACACTAAATGTGGATCATCACAAGGAAACTCAGTTCCACACCTTTTATCCTGCAGTTAAGTTGGGCTTAAGCCTGTATGCTGACACAGTTACTGTGCTGGGACAAAAACGTGCAGAGAGTCGTTAAACCACATTAGGGATTTTGACAAACTGGATTGCTTTTATACCCAGCTTAAAAAAAATATTATTTTGTTTTATGGGGTTTGTTTTCTCCTTTAGGAAGCTCATGGTTAGCTCATAAGGATTCTACAGCAAGACAAATAAATCTATGTCGTTTTCTGACATAAGAATGCACTATGTAAGAGGGAGTGTGTGAGGGGGTTCTATAAAAAAAAAAGACTCAGAAACAAAATCAACTAAAAGCAGTGAATTTTTCACGTGGATGAATAACACTGAAATAATGAAGTCTTAATTTATTAAAGATATTTATATTTATTGGTTTATAGAATGCTTGATTGCTCTGGAATTCCAGAGGCAGATGTGCAGATTGTTTTTTCTCTGCATATAATCCACAGCATCTTAGTTTCTCCAGAAACTGTAAAGCAACTTCGTTACCCATTGTGTTAAAAGATTACTGTAAATACAATTTGATGATGATGAAAATGACTTTTCTGTTTACAGCCAGTGTTCAAGACACTACCGGGCCCAAAAATTGAAAGACTGGAGCTGGGAGGGGCTCTTAACACACCACAGGAGAAAATTTTTGTGGCTATAGGAGCCGAAGTTAGAGGCTTCACAAAAAAAGGGAAGCAGTTTCTTTCCTTTGAAACTAACCTTACTGAAAGCATCAAAGCTATGTATGTATGATACTTGGCTTTTTTTTTTTTTCATAGCAGATTGTTGGTTTCTGATTGTATTAAATTAATTTTTTTTTTTACTGTATTGTGTAGCTGTAAGTAACACTGGCGCGTAGGAGTGAACGTGGGAAATCGTGGTAAAGTTCAGGAAGTTTGGAGGGGTTTGGGAGAGGTGCTGGAGGCATTTACACAGTGCAAATGCAGACGAGCAGGGCTGGGGTTATTGCCACAGTGTGTCATGTCCTTATACCCTTCCTGTAGCAGAGCAGGAACGATGTTTTTGTTTTTCTCTTTAACTCACGTTGTAAGATGTTGCCGTAGATAAATCAGCTGGAGAAGACTTAATGTAAAAAAATACGGTAATGGACTTTTTATAAAGAGACCTGAAGACAAAATAGGAAACTTGAGAGCTACAGAAATCACGTGATTTTAACATTTATAAGGAACTTTTGAAGCTGGAAGAGCTTGCAGGGCCCCATAATACCTCGAAGCTACAAGAAGTACTAAGGCTCAGGGACTCTCACCGCATCTGTAGCGAGAAAATGCTCCAGGAAGTGTTTTCTTTTCCTCAGGCACATTTCAGGAGCAGATCTCTTCCTGTGTGCCAGCTACGTGTACAACCATTACTGTGACTGCAAGGACCAGCACTACTTCCTGTCAGGGGACAAGATCAACGATGTCCTCTGCCTTCCCGTGGCCAAAGTGAAGTGCATTACACCCGTGCTCGCGTGTCAGGATAGGCTCCTCAGGGTTTTACAGGTTCATTTGCTTGTTTCTTTACCTTTTGTGTGTTGGTGCTGCAGAATTGGACTAGTTCTTAAGGGAGTCAGCAATCAGCATGTTATAAACACCCTAAGGATAAGTGTAGGGTGTGTTACTTGGCAGTGTTGCTGGCTGTAGTGATGGTGCATTGCTTTTATTTTAAAGGAGCATCATGGTTATGAACTTGCTGCATGAGGATTGATAAAACCTCTCTAAATAGGCTTCGGAATTCGTAGGTGGAAGTAGATGACAAGTTAGTCCTTTCTAACTAAACATTTAATTTCTTCAAGTCTTTATCAGTTTGAAATTCTTACTCTCACAAATTACCGTTGTGACAAATCCGAGTGATTTTAAAGTGCTCAAATAAATTTATTTGCCAAATTCATGGATTGTTTTTAATAATAGCACATTTCAAGAGTCATAGGTTTTCTTTCTATAAACTTTACTCTGTTTTGGCTTAGAAATGGTTCTCCTGCAGGTATGGGGAGTTTGTACAACTGCTTATGTTGCTATGATCCGTAATAAGCATATCCTTGTGGGGTTTGGTTTGGGGTTGGTATTTTGTTCTTAGTTTTGTTTTGTTTTATTTTTTTTTTTAACAAATTCATTCAAGATAGTTCTCTTTGTCTTTAGGGATCTGATTTACTGTACGAAATAGAAGTTCCTGGACCACCTACTGTTCTTGCTCTGAGCGATGGAAATGGGGGTAACAAGATTTTGAATACACAAATAACTAACTAATGCTATTTTACTGCATTTAAAAGTTTTTATTGCTTGTATTAGTGGTTTGCTTGGTCTTGATTTTAAGCTGATGTAAATATGCAATAGAAAATCAACTGTGCGAAGTAATTTCTTGCAGACAAGAAAATACACATACACAAGTATTTTAGACAGTTTTAAATGATATTCACATTTAATTCAAAGCCATTTACAAAAGCAGGGAGATACAAAGTGGTAAATACAGACTGGACTTTCTGGGGCCTTGTCCAGGTTTTGGGTTTGGGTTTCTCTTATCACATGGAATTCCATAGCTGGAATCCATGGATGGCTAGGAATATTGAGTGGACCTGACATAAACTAAGACTGGAGGGATCAAGCTTAAAATAGTTTGATCATCCTTCTTGCTAATCTGTTCTAACCTAATAGAAATGGCTTTAGGGTGTTAATCTGGTGCTTAATTTAGTTTGTTAGGTTGTGTGACAACAACACTTGAGAGCTGGTTTGGAGAAATAGTTCTTAATTACTGAAGTTTTGGCACAACACTGACCACTGGAGGTGTGTTCTCAATGGATCTCTCTGTTTCTTTTGTAAAAAGAATTGAGTAGCCCACCTTTGGTGAAATTTGAAGTATTGGATTCCGAATTCCAGTGCAGTCGTGGCAGAATAGTGGTAGTCGTGAAGAAATGAGCAGAATGGGTTCAGTTTTCCTGTACTGGATTTTTGTTTGGGAGCCTGACAGTTCTGTTACACAGCACTAACTCAGGGTTTCCCCTTGGGCTGCAGAATGTAACTACACCTCCTTTTGAAATTGGTGTGCTTGACTGTATTGATTCTAAGTTCAGTTTGTGTTTAGGTGATTCTGGGGAAGAAATTGTGTATGGAACTTCTGATGGTAAGCTGGGTCTTACCCAGATCGCTGGTTCCAAGCCTGTACACAAGTGGGAAATTGGAAATGAGAAAAAGAGAGGAGGTATGTGTCTCAATCTCTCACTCTTGAGCTTTCCAGCATATCTGAGGCTTTATTACAAGTAGAAAACCCAAGAAATCTCATTCATAGATACTTGGGAGGAATATTTTAGTTATGTCAGCATGTGATATTAATATGACTAAGGTCTCTTTAATTCTTCTGATTTTCTTATGAATTATTCTAATGAGTTTGTCTTGCTTTCTGGTTTGTGTTCATTTGGCTTTCAGTACTTTAGCTTGCTTTTGTTTTCACAGTTCTTTAGTTTCTTGCTTTCTAGTACATCCTTACTCTTCCTATGAAATACGAAGGAGTCCTGAAAGTTAAATTCCATCTCTTTTTTCATATTAATTCTTGTACAGACTCTCTCAGTGCCTTTTCCTTTTTCTAGACCTTGACTCTCTTTCCTGTCCAGAGATGATTTAGTTATCATAGGCTGTCTCCACATCTGCAAGTACTGAGTAGATGTCAAAGCAGCAGTGCCTAATCCAGGCCTGGCACAGTCAGAACCCTCTTTCTGTCACCTTACCCAGGGTTCCTATTCCATTTTACCAATTGCTTTAAGCCAATTATAGGAAACAAAGAATACTTGCTTCTTCAACTGGCAAAGTTACGGTAGTGAGGGCAGACAAATAGCTCGTCTGGGGAAATGTTTGATGAGGGAGGGTTAAACCCCTCTTAAGTTAGTGATCTCAACATCAGACAGGGTGTCTATTCACCAGTTTCTGTTGGGAATTGGCTGCTTTAAAACCCACTGTACAGCCTGGCACCGGTGAGGGACTTGAGCCCTCTAGAGGACTAGTCCTGAAATATCTCTAAATACTCCTCAAAAGGTGACTGAGTCTCTTTCCATCTAACAGAGGGTGGCCTGTGTGTTACTGTGTCATAAACATGAAGCAAACAGCTTTGTTTTCTTCTTCTTTAGGTGTCTTATGTCTTGACAGCTTTGACATTCTGGGAGATGGAGTTAAGGAATTACTCGTTGGGCGAGATGACGGAATGATCGAAATCTACACCTTTGAGAGCGCCGAGGAGCCCGTCCTGCGACATGATTATGTGAGCCCTCGTTCCCCATACTCTGCTGGGAATTGATCTGTAAATTGTTGTCTGTCTTTCAAAATTTACATGATCATTGCCACTAAAATACGTGGTTTGTTTTTAATTCGAAAATGGCGACAACGCCAATTTGAAATCAGTCTTTTAATTCTTAAGAACCAGACAGTGAAATAGCCCTGATATGAGCACAAATCAGAATAGTGTAGAGGGGATGTTGAAGGTCTGGCTCTGCTGACTGCTCAAGTCTCTTCTGGTGTAACCTAATACATGCAAAATAATTCATGTCATCTTTACTGAGCGTAATGACTTATTGGATCCATAGTGATCATTTCAATCTGCAGTCAGATTGCTAATTCCTGCTGGAAAAATACTGTGTATCAGTGTTTTGCTTTAAACTTTCTAATATATTTCTTCTGTGGAGTAGAATTGGAATGTATTTATCAAACCAGCAAAATTTAGCTGTGATAGTCATCAGCTGCTCTTTTGTAGGTCTAGATACTGTACATCTCTGTAGGTACTTTGGGATGCAGGTAGAAAGGAGGAGCAAAACCCTTAAAATCCCCACACACCACCCCCCCTCCAAACTTGTTAAGTGAGTGCAGTGATTTTGCCTCTGCCTGAATGTGTTCACTTGAAGGCTTTGTCGGAGAGCGTTGCCTCGATCCAGGGTGGCTGCGTAGGGAAAGATGGCTACGATGAAATTATAGCAGCCACGTACTCAGGTAAGCTTCGTGTTGTTTACTCAACAAATCCTGTGTGTGGTGATGTGATAAAATGAGGCAGGCTGTGTTTTTAGTGCAGCTCAGAGCTCTGACATTTTTTGTTCTGATTGGAACCAGGGTAATATTAAACTATGGGGGGGTTATATTTTAAGATATTCTTCGAGTGTTCTGCTGTGTAACACGCTGGCTATTTTTTTTTGGTGCAGATTGTTGCCTAACTGTGATGAAATAATGAATATGTTACGTCCAAAGGAACTGTTTATAAGTTCTTTAAATTAAAAATAGCCATAGAGAAGCTTTCTTTTTTTTTTTTTTCCTATCTTTCACAAAATTTCACTCCTTTACAGTTTCACAGGGCTTTAAATGGGGTTGATTTTGCTTTTAGTAGAAAATAAAGCTCCCTCATGTGAGGCATCTCAGCAGCTCCCCTGTAGGGTTTGAGCTGTTGGCGTGACTGTCACAGAGGTCATGATAAACAGGCTGCAGATGTCAACTGCTGGAGCTAAAATATTGCTAATTCTCTACCTTGGGTTACCTTCAGGGCTAAAATTTAGCCTACTGACGCTTCTTGTATTCAAAATCACGTCCTTTGGCAAGATCTAATTCTCAGTCAGTTATTGCCAAGTGATGGTGTTCGAGTGCCTCTTTTGAGTGGCCTTTGGGTGATCAAAACACTCTTCTAGCTGACCTCATGTGAGTTGTTTTGGTGTGATGGGCTGCAACAGTGCTGTGGCCAAAGGAAAAGATCCAGGAATCACAGAAGATGGAAAAAAGTGAAAACCCAAATTCGCCTGTAGGTTTTCAAAGGTAAAAACTCTGGTAGGATGTGCCCTGGACTGATTCTGGCAGGTGGCTAGAGCTGTAAACACCCGTTCAAGTCATGCTTGAGGTGTCAGAATGGAATCAATTGGTATTTGCTTTTATAAATAAATGTAATTAAGTGCGTGAAAAGATAATTTTTTTTTTTTACTTGAACCACCACCATTCAATCTCCAAGTGCAAGGTGAGGTTTGCTCTAAGCGCACTGCACTGCTTTGGTTTTGTTTCCATCTGTAGTCCCGACAATTATTCAAGGTTTTGTCAGAAAACCAGAGGTGGGAAAAAATTCAAGTGCTCAGTTAAAAACTGTCACAGAGGGATTTATTGCTCAAAGCACTTAATGAAAAAGGATAAGTAATGTTTTCCAATTTAAGAATGAAGCCCATAAAAAAATCAGGCTCAGTGTCTAGATTAATCCTCCAAAAAAGGATTAAATTAGGCTTCATTCTCTCTACCTAATATCTGGAACAAACATAGCTCCACACATATAATAGCTGAGTGTAGAATTTCCTTTTAGCTTTATAAGGAATATAAATTTCCTATATTGGTTTAGGCTGGCTGACAGGACTGACTACAGAGCCTGTCCATAGAGAAGGTGGATCAGGTGAAGAACTAAAATTAAGCCAAGAAATGCAGAACAAGATCTCATCCTTAAGGTAATTGCACCAGAAAGAAATTTAAATGGAAGAATTGAAATGTTAAAAGCTGAAATGTCATTTTTCCTTCCTATCTCACCGGGTCTTCTGTATCATTAATATGTCCAGAAGTGGAATCAAGCCTTTTCAAAGTAGAAATGAATAGCAGCCTCATTTCACAGTCATGAATGTGATGATGATGATGTCTTAATGCCTTCTTCCTCAGCGTCAGCAAGATAAGATTCCCTTCTTGTGTGCTGCCTTATAGCTCCTAAATGATGGCAGGAAAGCAGCATATCATTCAAAATGCATTGCACTCTTCAAGGGGAAAAAAAAAGTTGTCCTTTCCCGTGTCTCAGAGAAATCTCTTTTGACAAGGAGCTGTAGAATCCACATGTCCACATGCTATAGTTTATATTTTGTCTTTGTCAGTATGTGGAAGGGGAGTCACCAGTCACTCCTGGCTGGAAAGCTGAGGACAGGAGATAAACATGATTGCCTTGCAAGCTTAATCTACAGAATTTCTACGGTAGCTTTTCTAGCTGCCTTTTTAAAGACATTATAAATTGTCTCCCTTCTCTAGGAACGAACTGGAACACTTACAGATGAAGGTCCTTCAGGAAAGGGAAAAATACCAGCAGTCCTCTCAGTGCAGCACTGCTGTTTCCTCAGTACCTGCGTTCAGTGTGAATGAGAAGTTCACGTTAAATAAGGACGATGCCAGCTACAGCCTCATCCTGGAGGTGCAGACAGCCATAGATAATGTCCTGGTGCAGGTGGGTGTGGCTTTGCTCTTGTTGGCTTGAGCAGAGGTTCAACATTAGACCAAAACAGACCCAAGTGCCTGCTGTAGCAGGAGGATTCTTTGGCACGTCCTTAGCTGAACACCAGTTAAATCTTAAATGAGGTGCAGGTTCTCGTTCACCAGCTGAGTACCCTCTGGAGTGGAAAATTAATTTTAGAATGGTATGGGCCACCTGTGCACTTTCAGAGTGGAACAGCATCTGATTTGTGTGCAGTTGGGGATAAATACTGCTGCCCAGTAGAGCAATCTTAATTAATTGTTCCTCCTACTGCATCAGCTGAAATTAATGTCATCTTTGGTAGATGACTCAGAAAGAGTTGTGGTACTGAATTACCTTCTTTCGGGAAATGCATGGGGAGGAAAATGTGACAAGGAGCAATTTGTGAGGTGGGGAAACTACTGCACCATTTTATTTTTCACTTCTTAATAAAAACCTTACTCCTGTTAAGGCTGTTACAGAACAATGCTGAGCTACAGCTCATTTGCAGCTCTGTATTACCTGGCCTTTCCATAGCCAAGTGAGGAATGCAGGAAATTGTTTAATCTACCCTTTATACCTGACAGACAGTTACATACCTTACACTGAGCTTTTTTGTAAGCCAACCCCCCAAGAGTTCAGGACTCTGTAAGGGACTAAGGGAAAGATCATGATGTTACTCCAGGATTAAGTAATAAGCTGCATGTCTGTTAGGCTTTTACCCCTTGGATGAAGCAATCACTGCCTCTGCCTTATTAAAAAGTTTGGTGACAGTTAGAGGATATAAATGTCCCAGAAGCTCCTCAGGAGCTTAAGCTCTTTATTTTTTCCTCCCTCCTGTGTTCTGCAGAGCGATGTCCCAATAGACTTGCTGGATGTGGATAAAAACTCTGCCGTTGTTAGTTTTAGCAGCTGTGATTCCGAGGTAAGTGAAACAGAAGAGATGGTCTTTATGGGGATCACCTGATGGAAGCTCTTTAACACTGAGGAGTAAAAATAGGAGTTGGATTTATATATTTGTGATTGCGAATGTGTAGATTTAAACCACTCTTTGGGGAGTTTTGGAGGGTTCAGCTTCATTAGAGATGCTGCAGAATTCGGAGTTAGAGGCAGGTCCTGACATAAGGCACAGCTAAATATGTGCAAAAGGATCCAGGAGCAGCTCCCCTCTTGCTTTTTATTTCCTGCCTGATGAGGACTGTGAGGGACACATTCAGTATTGCTCTCTTCCCTGGGTTTCATAGAATCCCATATTTACTTCAAGGTAATTTAGGTGAAGAACGTTGTATTTCTTCCTTGCTTCATTTCTTATAAATCTCTTTAGAAAGTGAAAGTTCCTCTGTGTGGAGAGTCAAATGTTTAGTGCATTTTTTTTTAATATAATAATTACAGGCTTAAGTAGTTATAAAATTACTAATGATGCTGAGGGATTCCCTGGGGAAAATCCAGAAACTACCCTAGGATTATGCAAATCTTCCGTGAAATCTTTTTCCTTGTAACATTCCTCTGTTTTAGTTTTAAGAATTAAATTTGTCCATCATTGGTCTGCTCTTAGGTTTTTAGAAATCAACCTTTTATTTTAGGTTTCTGCTCATTTATGATGATTACTTTAGCACTTTTTTGGTGTGTTTTCTTACTGATTTTAGTTTTTGGAAGTTGAACTAATATTGTAGGGGCAGGCTGACGTGTATTTTTTAGATGAAAAGCAGGTACCTGTTGTATCTTCATGGTGATATTAAAGAATATAAAAGGCTTTGGTTGTTTTCTCCTTATATAGAGAATTTCTTTTAAACTCTGCCATACTTAAAATTATTAGAATATTCAGGGGAATAAAAGATGACTTTATTTAATTCTTGTAAATAGCTGTACAGACATAATCAAAAACTTTACAAGTCTGCAGTCAACAGACCAGTTCAAAATTTGATGAGTCCTCAGAGCTGTTTTGTACTAATTTTTTTTTTTTTTCTGTTTACAGCCAAATAGCAACTTTCTTCTTGCAACTTACCGATGCCAAGCAAACACCACGAGACTTGAACTTAAGGTAAAAGGCTCCAAAATCTTTTCCACAAGAAATTAATGGTTTTTTCTTGCTTAGGGGTGGAGAGTTCTCTACCTGGAGTTTATATTTCTTTATAAAAACGTGTTACCTCCGAGGTCCTTCTTGAGTGTCCCTGAGATGAAAGCAGTGGGGACATCATAGATCAGGAAAATTCTGGATTCTGGAGGCAGGGTGTGGATCTTAAAGCTCCTGGCATTGATCATTCTCTGTTTGAAGGCAGTTGCACTGGGAACTAAACAGGGAATGTAGACTGGAAATGTATTTTGGAGAGGAAGCAAATCTGATCATTCCATGCTTATTATACTAAAGGCACGTGGGTGTTTGGGAGTTTATTTTTTATGATCTACCAAATTCGCACGTTTTATGGCAACCACCAGGGGAAATAATGAAGGAAATCACAGTTAGGAAGACCCCCAAGGTGCACACAGGCATTTAGTTCTCTCTTTCCCACTGCAGCCTCCTCATCTGACATGTGCTTGTGTAAAATTCTCAGTTAAAAGATGAAAAATCAACCAAATGCATTCATAATGGACAAAAAGAGGGGTTTGTTTTTTGCTCTCCCACCAAAAACATTTATAAACTTTCTGTTGTGTGTCATCAAAACACTCTATTCTCTCTCTTTTATTTGGATCCCCGTGTGGTGGATTTGATCTGCACAGGTTCTGCTGCCACCTTGCTGCAGTACATTCAGGATCTTTAGTGACTTACACCTGCCACTGGAGTTTATTCTCCTTTTTTATTTTGTCTATGCACATGCAGGCAATATAAGTCTTGGTGATTTTATTTCCTAAGAGAACTCTTTACTAACATTTTTTTAGTAAAAATATTGAAATGGATGTCTTTCTGCATCTTTGAGTTCTGAGACCCTATAAAATAGGAGAGACAATTAAGGTGATAAAGCAAACCTGTCTTTGAACTCCTTAATTAAATTCCTATAATTGCTTAATATATGTTGAATATTCACCAAATTGTGGTGAATTCATCTTTTCCCTTTTCTTTTTTTCTTGGGTTCTGCCTTTCTTTCTGCAGGTTCGCTCGATTGAAGGTCAGTACGGGACACTTCAAGCGTACGTAACTCCAAGAATCCAACCAAAAACCTGTCAGGTCCATCAGTACCAAATTAAACCACTTTCCCTTCATCAGAGAACTCATTCCCTCGACCATGACAGGTATTTGTGAAGGAAATAAAAAAGGACACAATCCAGTTGCAGCGTTTGCGCTGTAAACTTAAATATGTCATTTCGAACTCCTAACCTACAGTTTGAGCCTGCAGTTCCATTTTATGGGTTTCTTAATAGAAAATGTGGATTAAATGGGTTCCTTGCCATTCTTTTTTTCTTGTTTTTAGGTTATTTTTCATTTTTCTGCCTGGGTTATAGTGCAGCTCCATGTGTTAGCAGACCTGAGGGTGTGGTAGAAAGGAAACTCTGCTGCCGTAGTAACCACAGGCTTTTCAGTTTCAGCCTAATTTTCCCCTCCACCCTTTTCATCTCATTTTTTCTCAGAGCTGACTTGGCCTCAAAACTGAGCCAAGAATTTGTTTTTTTTTTTTTTTTTCACCCTTATCCTCCCGTTAGGAATTTTGTATTTCATGCAGTTTCTAATTGAGTTTTGCCCACCCTCAGTCCCAACATCTTGTGTTGGCTCCAAGGAATTGCTTGTTCAAACCAAACCTGGAAGACTGAAGGGGTGATACCAAAGGCTTCAGTGTGCAGATGAGTTCCATTATGCCTTGTCCTTGGTGTAAAGGTGGTTTACAGCACGAGAGACTGTTGAGGCTCTCTTTTAAAAGTCATATTTGCTGTGCTGTCAGTTATTTACCATTGTCCTAAATCTCAGGTTTAACGACTTGAAACTTTTCAAACTAATCTGCAGTGTGAATTACTGCTTAGTGAGATACCTGATTTTACAGGTCCTGATTAAAAGGAAACCACCACGTGGAACTATTTTATATGGATAGCATCTCTCCTTCTTTACTATTACCTCTCCTCTTTTTCTTTTAATTTCCTAATATCACAGGCCCATGAACACTCTGACTCTCAAAGGCCAGTTCAGCTTTGCTGAAATTCACTCCTGGGTTGTGTTTTGCTTGCCTGAGGTGCCTGAAAAGACTCCTGCTGGAGAGAGTATCACCTTTTATTTTCAGAACACCTTCCTGGGAACACAGCTTGAAAGTACTTACAGGTAAAATACAATGGCTGAAGCACAATGTGACACTTCACATTCATCCTGCTGTTCCACCCTTCAGCCTCCTTCAAAACTCTCACTAAAGAGAGCAGGAATCTTTCTTAAAAAATGTTACCAGAGGTGAGAACTATCTAATAATGATTCAATCCATAACTTGAGTATGGTTTCTCTTGAAGTTGGTCCAAAAAAACCCCAAATTACCAGGGAGGAAAGGCTTGCTTTTAGAATATAAAGAGCAAGGCTGGCTAATACAGTGAAATAATTGTTGTCTGACTTGCATTTTTTTTTGTATTGAGGAGCAGAAATAACTTCCAAGGCATTTAATGCTCATGCAAACAAAAACGGGCATTAATTTACAGACCTTGTTTTTTTAACATAGGGACAAATCTGCAAGTTTGTTCATTTGAAGTTTTTCTTCCTTTGTAGAAAAGGCGAGGGATATTTTAAGTCTGACAACATTTCTACAATATCCATCCTCAAAGATGTGCTTTCCAAAGAAGCTACTAAAAGAAAGATTAATCTCAACATATCATATGGTAAAAATTTCTTCTCTATTTGGTCCTTGGGTTCATTTGAGATTCCTGTAAGTGGAAGGAAGGTTATTCATTTGCTTGGTGGGTTGTTTCTTTTTTTTGCTCCCTCCTAGATGTCAGTGAAGAATCTGTGAGGCACACGCTAAAGCTCATCCACCCTAAATTAGAGTATCAGCAGCTGCTGGCCAAGAAGGTTCACTTAATAGATGCTTTGAGAGTAAGTAGCTGAACTCGTGTGGTTTGGTTTCTATAGAGGATTTCTGCTGTCAAGTTGTGTGGCTCAGGTCAGATGTGTTGTCATGTGGGGATCTGTTCCGTTGCTGTTCCCCTTCATTAAATTAAATCACTTGTTCTAAGTGTCCAGGGGACAGGTTTCTTCCAAGGAAAATTCCCATTTTTGTTATATAACTAGTGATTAATACTTAGGATTACTGAGTGATGTGGAGAAGGCTGAAATGGGACAGTAGAAGGCAGCCAGTTTTATCATCTAATGCTCTCTCCTAGCCTGCTGTTATTTTCCAGTTCCTTCTACATCTCTTTTCCACAGACCTTTAAAAGTTTTTTAAATTTGGGGTTGATCATCCAGGCCAGGTGCAACTTCCTTGCTTTGGAACTTCATCCCTGTGTCTCATAATTTCTGCATTATCTGCTTTTTAATTTTTCGCTTAATCCCCTCCTCAGCAGTTAGTCAGCTTGTCTCAGTTCTTCGACTTTTTTCCAACAACTCAGACTTTAGTGTCAAAAACTTGCCATCATCAATTTGGTGTTTTTTATTTAGGTGGAGAGGAGATGAAAATGGGCAGCCAATTCTCTATTGTCCTTTGGGGGAATCAACTACTTGTTGTGAGAACTCTCTGCTTAGTAGAGAAGCTGACTACCAATGAAAATAATGGGTATCTTTATTATCACTGAAAGTGTTTGACTTGGGCTGGGTTTGGCAAACCAGGGATGTAAACAATAACGCAGAATTTATTCTTAATGCATATTGTGCTTATGCAATAATAACGTTGCATACCTTGCTTGTTTTAGGCTTTTTTTTTAGACAGCAAATCTTTGACTTTTTTTTTTAATCACTCATTTTTTTGGATGATAACTTATTGATAGACAGTAAAATAGTTTAATGCTTGATGAAAGCTGTTATCCCAGCAGACTCACAGTGCACAACATAATTACCTTTTCTCTAGAAGAGTCTTTCTGTGGAAGATAAAAAGATCTATACTATTGACCACCTCAAATTGGTCTGCTGATAGACTGAGGCATTTTAGAAGAGGTCTTCAAAACTTTTTGCTGCCATGATTGACTGATACTTTCAGAGTCCACTTTTACCATCAGACGTCAGCATAAGCTACACTTTTTTAGGAGTTTAATTATTCTAAAAATGAAGATATGGTGAAGGTTTGAGTCTGGAGGGGCAGGGCTGTGGCCTGATCCTGTTCTGGCAGCTGGAAGCTGTAATACATGGGATTTTGAGGATCTAGGCTAGGAAGTGACAAGTATCATCATTTCATTAGAAGACTAGAAAATGAGAGACACTCTGGAAATAACTTCTTTAAAAGGGGATTATGTTCCCTTTGAAGTTCTTCCTCCTGTCAGACCCAAGCCTGATTTCTTCGTACTTTTATGCTGCTCTTACCATAATTTTCTGCTGTTAGTTCTTACAATTTTAAAATGTCTTTGAGGAATTACAAGTTCACGAAGGGAATGTGGACTTCCTGCTCCCAAAATACCGAGCCATTTTGGAAGAGGCAGATCAGCTGCTCGAGGAATACAAGAGACAACCTGCGCATCTGGAGAGACTTTATGGTTTGTTGCTAATTCTGCTTTATTTAAACGTGATTTCATGTCCAGAGAGCACGCTGGGCGTGGCTGGAATAGTTGTGAAGTCAGGATTAGCAGAATTTAAATACTTTGAGGTGGGTACACGTGGGAAGCTTCGGGACAGCAAGAGGTTTGTGGATGCCCCATTCCTGGAGGGGTTCAAGGATGGGGCGTGGAGGCCACAAATATATCACTGAGAATGAACACACCAGGATTACCTGCAGCTGACTTGTCTAGTTTTTAAAATTTTTAATAGACAGCTGCCTATATGTGGGTGATCCTTGTCTTCATGGACATGATTAGGAAGCGTGTTCGAATTCAGGGTGGCAATTACAAATGATAAAAGTTAAATGAGCAGTTCTGAGGGGTGAAGTTTTACAAAAGATGAGAGAAACAAAAATGCATGAGGAGTGGGAAGGGAGACTCCCAGAAGATGATCTCATTTAGTGAAGGAAATTCTGTAACATCCTCTGGTGTTTCCCATACATCTTTCAGCCCAGAGAAGGTCTGCCAGGCACCCACTTTAATAAGCCTGTGTATATACAGTGTAAGCAGTGTCTTTGTTACCTGTCCTGTGATAGTTCCTTTCTTTTTAGTTGTTTCAGATATGGGTAATTCTAAGGCAGAAATACACACTTAGGAATGAATCCAGAATCCAGGCTCACAGTGGCTTGTGTTTGTTTAAAATTAAACCGCTGTTTAAAACATGAAGTTAAAGAAGTCTTGTAACAACTAGGATAGTTAGTACATAATGATGAGTTAATAGTAGAGATGCCTCTTACTGAAAACAAGGCAAATAATAACTCCTGGAATTTTATCTTTGCAGGTATGATCACTGATCTCTTCATAGATAAATTTAAATTTAAAGGCACCAATGTGAAAAGTAAAGTTCCTCTCCTCCTGGAAATTCTGGATGGCTGTGATCAAGATGGATTAATCGCCTTTTTTGATGCTGCAGCCTGACCAAGGAAAAAGCAGAGTAATATTTCTGTTTTTAATCAAGGCATTTCAATATTGAGCCCAAAGCACTTTTTAAGAAAAACACTTTTATTCTTTGTGGTACTGTCAGCTCTTAGGTTTTATTCATATTTATTACCATGTTGGATACAGTAGTAAATTTCATATAAACTGTTGTGTATATATATATATATAATAATAATAATATTATTATATATATATATACACATAGTATATGTATATAACTGCCCTCAGAGGTTCTATGTACAGTGCTAAATAGCTGAAGAAAACTTATAATCAGATGTAAATACCAAATACCCTTTTGGTAAAAATGTTTTCACTGCTGTTAAAGACAACATGGAGCAGTCTGTCCTCCAGCTGCAAGAACGGATGAAGAAACTGGTTTCCAGAGACCTAAACGGATTTGGAAGAAATTTGTGTGTTTGAAGCTATACCTAAGATAGGTAGGATTTGCCTGCTGCCCTGAGAATCTCAGATCTCACCAGACCTGATGTAGAGGGGGGAGAACTGAATTTTAGACTGAAGACAGCTCCATTTAAAGTCATGTGTGAAGTCTTGTTTAATGATGGATGGCATTAAACTTCCTCTGTGCTTCTCCAGCATCCCTGTGCTTCATTTCAAAACTCCAGATTACTTCTCACTTGGTTTTATTTAAAATTAGAAGAGATGAACCAGCCTGTGAATATGGAGATCTGTTCACAAGTAAAAAAGACCAACTTCATTAAAGGGAAATTGAATCGCAGAATCATCAAGGTTGGAAGAGACACTTTAAGATCCTCAATCAAGTCAAACCATCAACCCAGCACTACCACTGTAACCCCTAAGCCGTGTCACCCACTGCCAGATCCAGATGCCTCCTACACACCTTCTTTGATGGGAGACTCCACCACGTCCCTGGGCAACCTATTCCAATGCCTGACTGTCCTAACAGGGAAAATGTTTAAGATCTGATGGCAGTGAGGCACTGGCACAGGTTGCCCAGAGAAGCTGTGGATGCCCCATCCCTGGAAGTATCCAAGGCCAGACTGGACAGGGCTTGGAGCAACCAGGGCTAGGGGAAGGTGTCCTGCGCATGTCAGAGGGGCTGGAACTGTTTGGTCTTTAAGGTCCCCTTCCAGCCCAAACCATTCCGTGATTCTGTGATAAGCTGAGACCGGAGAGACTCAGATCAAGGCTCTTTTTTCCCCTTGTCCCCTCACCGCAGGCACGGTGGCAGAGCCGGACCTGCACCTCCCTACACCCTTCCTTTACGTAACTAGAGAGAGCGCGAAAAGGTCCCCCCGAGCCCCTTTTTCTCCAGATTAAACACCCTCAGCCACTCCTCCTAGGACAGGGCTCTCCCGACCCTTCACGAGCCGTTCGCTGGGCCACGCTCGTTTCCCGCACACGTTTCCCGGGCCTGAGCCCCGAGGCGCTCCCTTCCCTGTGGGCCGCGGGGAGCGGCTCAGCCCCGGCTCTTCCCCCCAACGTCAGGACCGCTCCCTCCCTTCCCTTTTTTTTTTTTTTTTTTTTCCTTTTTCCCTCCGTCCCGCCCCTCGCGGCCTCCCCCCGCCCCATCCGGCGCGGCCGTGACGCCCCGCGCGCCCATTGGCCGGTTCAATAGTCGCGGGCTGCTTGAACGGCGCGGGCGGCTCCAGGCGCGCCCGTCCCGGCCCCGCCGCCGCGGCGTCCCCGCCGTGCTCGCCCTCCTGTGTTTCCATCCCTGCCGGCCCCCCGCCCCCCCCGCCGCGGCCATGCTGGAGCAGGAGAACCAGGAGAATGTCCCCCCGCCGGGCGGCAAAGCAGCAGCAGCGGCGGCGGTGCCGCCGCCGCCCGCCGGCCCCCGCGTGGCGCTGGGGGTGCTGCGGGGCGCGCAGGAGCGCCCGGGGCTCTCGCTGCAGGTGAGCGGGCCGGGATGTGAGGGGGGCAAGCGGGGCTCCGGGGCGGCGGGGGCTGTCAGGGGCCCGGCAGTGACGGCCGCTCTCCCCACAGGCGGCGCGGGGCGGCTGCGAGGGCCACGGAGCGGCGGCGGCGGCAGCGGGGAAGCACCAGCCCTTCTCCATCCATGTGGACGAGCCCGATGGGGAGCGGGATCGGCGGCCGCGGGTCGCCCCGGCGGGGCGCAAGGAGGATGCGGCTCTGGGGCTCCGTGCGGCCGTGTGTGCCCTGGGGGAGCGGCGGCCCCTGGCCCCCCTGGGCAACGCCATGGAGCTGAGCTTCGGTACGTGACATGCCGGGGCAGGGCAGGGCAGAGCTGCCTTGGTGGGCACTGCGGTCCCACCTGCTTTCTCCTCAGCGCCCTGCCCTCGGCAAAGTGTGGGGGGGTCGTGCCCAGCTCTTTCCCGGGGAATTGTTTCCAGAGCGAACCGGAGGGCTGCAGGTCCCGGAGCATATTCGGGGCACAGATGGGTCTGGTTTGCCTCAGGAGCCGGTTTGGTTCCTTCGAGCCTGCCACCATGATACAACAGCCCTTTGGTCCTTTGCCTGAGCCTCTGTGCTTCTGTCCCCCGCTATCTACAGGAAACTTTATACTTTGTGAGTTTAACTATCACGAGAGAAAACCAGATTAAAGACCAGGCCTTAAAGCCTCGCCCTTTGCTACCACTATGGAGTCAGAAGGGGACTTTACTCAGGCAGATCCTGAGATGTAATAGGCTTTTCTCCCAGGAAATACCCTGTAGGGGTGCAAGTATATCTTCCCACTTTGTAAAAGATGGGAACTGCCAGATCCATCTTCTGTAAGACTTGCCTGGATATCTGAGGGCTCACTTCATTGTGGCCCACTTCTCCAGTCTACAAAAAGCTCTGGGACTCCAGCCCTGTTTTAAGCCACAATCTAAGGTTGCAGGACCCACATCTGTGTAACAAGGTAACGCAGGATGCACTGAGCACTACATAATTGCAAGAGGGTTTTCCATCCCTTTATTCTTAGGGGGAAGAAGAGAAAGGGGAAGGGAAAACTTCCCTGTTGCCGTAACATACTGGCTTCCCTAGAGCCTCCTCAACTCCCAGTCTAGTTGAGTGAGCCTGCACAGGGTTCCCTGTGCTGTGAGGGGTTGTTCCAATGGTGCCCATTTTAACATGGCTGTTATCCTCTGCTTAGACTCTCCAAGTATTATGGATATTTCAATAACCTCAGAACCAGAAGAGACAAAACCAAACGTTAATAACGTGTCAGACTATATCAGCGAAATCCATACGTACCTTAGGGAAATGGAGGTGAGCTGCTGTCCCTTTTCTTATTTGCATACAGCTTATGGGGGCGGGGGTTTGGGCTTGGGAAGTGCATCTATCCATGAGTTACTACTACAGTGACCAAATTAAAGCTTGCTAGAAAGGGAGAAATAAGATGCTGTGAACACAAGACCAGTCTATTGTGCTGTTCACTGAACAGAAGCTGCAAAGCAAGATTACAGAAACATAACTTATTGATCCTAAACTTACCGTTGTTTACTTCTGACTTGTTTAAACTGTGGTAGATTGAGCTTAAACAGTGCTTCCCTAATAGTACTTGGTCCAAACTCAGCTCTGCCTGTCATCTAAACCTACAGGTGAAATGCAAGCCTAAAATAGGCTACATGAAGAAGCAACCTGACATCACAAACAACATGCGGGCTATTCTTGTGGACTGGCTGGTGGAAGTTGGAGAAGAATACAAACTACAGAACGAAACCCTGCACTTAGCTGTAAACTACATTGATAGGTTTCTTTCTTCAATGTCTGTTTTGAGAGGAAAACTTCAGCTTGTGGGTACCGCAGCCATGCTGCTTGCATCGTAAGTGAAGTTGCTTCGTTTCAAATTCCACCCGCTGGTCTCCTACAGATAGAAATCTTGCGGCTATCACTGTTCTGCTGCCTATAGCCGGGCTATAGGGGAGGGCTTCACACTGGAATAAAAATCAGGGGTTATCCTCCTAAAACCTTGGCAGTTTTTTTTGTAGATTGCCCTAGAGTGAGGATTCATCCTTTCCAGCTGCAGCAGCAGGCATCTAAAGAGTATTTGAAGGAATATGCATAAGGCACGTGAAAAGAAAGTTTGGCTTGCACCAATTACTAGTTTAGTGGGTTCTTCTGGAATTTCAGTAACTCCAAGTCCCAAACTGCTTAGTCCTAAAATAGCAGGCTGTTGTAGCTCTCTCATTTCAAATTCTTGCTGATTCAAGAGCTCCTGAACCAAGTGCAGGAAACTTGTTTGGTGCCAGTGCTCAGCCACTCCCAAGTCAGAATTTAAACGAGCGAGCTCACTTGCATTAAATGTTGCTGGTTATCTGGTTTCCTAGCACTCGATTATTTACTCCTAACAATTTCTCCCGGCAGAAAGTTTGAAGAAATCTACCCTCCCGAAGTAGCCGAGTTTGTCTACATCACGGATGACACCTACACCAAGAAGCAGGTTCTAAGGATGGAGCACTTAATTTTGAAGGTTTTGTCGTTCGACTTGGCAGCTCCAACGATCAACCAGTTCCTCACCCAGTACTTCTTACATGAGCAGACAGACGCTAAAATGGAGAGCCTGTCAATGGTAAGGAGGAATTACCAGCTCAGCCCATGTCCCTAGAGTGTTCTTTTGTAGAGATATATAAACATTAGCAAGTGTGCTCCTCCAGAAGTGGTGCCACACTGCTGGAAACTAATGCTCCTATTGCACTTACTGGTTGGGATAATACATTCTTATCAGAGGCTGGCACTTGGCCTGGCTCAAGCCTGCACACTTACTCAGTGCAGGCAGAGATTAATGAACTTTAAATTGGGAGTTGTTTCACTGCTAGATAGACGTTTCCCTCCCTCTTATCCAAAATTGCCACACATACCCACCCACTTTGGCTAAAAAACCCTTATATTTTGGTTTTTCCCTCAACTAGCAGCAAGCTCTAAATCCAGAGGGTAATTTCTAAAGCAGAGCACAGATAACATTTCAGCTAAGGTTTTAATAAATCCTAACTGTATGGTAGCTACCAGAGCTTCTAAAACAGAAAGAAGCCTTTGCCTCATTGTGCAAAGATCAGACGTGACTACGTTCTTTCCTCTAGTTCTCATATATCCCTAAATATAAAATCATCTTCCTCTTCCTTTTGGAAGTAGACACCCGTTCTTGTTTCCCTTGCAGTACCTCGGGGAGCTGAGTCTAATTGATGCTGATCCTTACCTGAAATACTTGCCATCAGTTATTGCTGCTGCAGCCTTTCTTCTAGCAGACTACACGCTCACTGGACGAACTTGGGTACGTAGCACTCAAACGTGAGCCTTCATGTGCCTTTGTGTGTGTTTATTTGTACACAGTTCTGAATGCTGGGGCTGGGCTGCAGGAATTATGGCCCCTCCGTGCTCCTGGGCTGTTAATTAGGGATTGTTCCCTGTGGTATTTGAAAAGTGGGAGGGGTTGGTATTATGGTTTCAACAAGAAACCAAAAACTCCACTGGCGGTTGTCAGCATAAGCACACGGAAATGTTCCAATGTCCCTCTTCCTTTCCTTTTTCCCTCAGCCTGAATCCCTGTGCAAAGTAACTGGCTACACCCTTGAAGACATCAAGCCTTGCCTCGTGGACCTACACAACACCTACCTCAAAGCAGCCCAGCACACGCAACAGTCCATAAGGGAAAAGTACAAGAGTACCAAGTGAGTATCTCTAAAGATGTTGGGAGAAGAGGGGGGTGTTACACCTGAGTTGTCCTAGCATGTAGCTGCTTGTCGGGGTGTGGGTGCGGGTGTGGCAGGTCTTCAGGCAGACTCCACTAACCAAACCCACCACCTCAGTGAAATGGTGGTGAGACTCCCCATGTTTTTGCACAGTGGTTTGCTGAGCAATACTTGGTGCTCTGTCGCTACCAGAACCGTCAGGTGGAAACTGGAGGAGTTTCCTTGATGTTCCTACAGTTGGTGATACCTGATGCTCCTAAAAAACCGTGTGGGCACGGCAACCAGCAAGCCCCAAAGTGTTTCCTGCCTTGTGGGAAACGTGCTTTGCTGCAGTGTGTGTGTGCTGCTCTGTGTGGCAGACAGCACTGGAGCGAGATGACATCCTGCATCTTTTTTTCCCCCCTCTCTAGGTACCATGAAGTATCGCTTATTGACCCGCCAGACACACTAAACTTATTGTAATAATCAAGAGACTGATCTTTTTGAGAGATGTATATTACCAGGAAATGATGTACAGTTTTAAACATGGTTCAGAATTCTAGATGTGATCACTCAGAATGCAGGCTTTGACGACTTTAATTATGAAGTTAGTTTTATGAGGGTTTAATGTAAATCTTTTGTACATGCGATCTTGTTAAAGAGTTTTAACCGTGTTTTTATCCAAACGTTCTCTTCAGGCACAGAATTAACCATGCAGACCGTGTGAAGTCTGAGACTGCCTAACTACTTATAGCCTAAACGTTAATATTAGGGGTGCACTATTATAAGTGGGGCTTTTTCTCCTTCTGGGTAAGAAAGACTTGGACTCCACAGCAGTATTTGTAGCATTTTTATATTGTCTAGTTTAAACTGAGACTTAGCATAGACCCAAAATGTGGCCTCGTGTCTATTATACTGGAGGAAACTATGTGGCTGTGAGGAGAACACCTTCCTGGAATAGACTCGTGAGCCTCTTTTAGGATGTGCCTTGTGATGTAGTGCCAGGGCTCCATCAGGCTGAATGCTCTGCTGCAGGAGCTGCGGGGTTAAAACTCCTACACCAGTTCATAGTTCTCACTGCCACTACGTAGAAAATGGTCTTGCTACAGGTATTTTCTTGTGCATGTGTAAAACTGATACTAATTTAAACCCATGGAGTTCCCAGTGACGCGTTAGCTGTCCCCAAAGCCCATCGATACCTACTAAAAAAACGAGTCCTCAGTCTGCTTACCTTGTACCTCTTTATGGGTGGTGGAGGGATTAAACTGCAGGAGGGTGAACTACTGCTCTGTGCCCTCAAGGGGAGGGAGTGTCTCCTGGCATGGATGGGCTACATGCAGAACCACGTGCATTCTGTACACCCCTCATGCTTGGAGAGAGTTCCTCCACGGCAAAAAATGGAGACCAACCGGTTGTATTTTTCCTTAGTTCTGGAACTCTGTTACATGAGCAAACGTAAACCAGCATTAGATCCAATGGATGTTTTTCCTTCAGCCTGTGTAAATGGAGTGATGCTGCCCTGTACCTGCTGTTCTCTGCATGTGAAGCAGTTGACTGCACAGAAGCGGGTTGGATTAAGCCATTTCCAGGCTGGCCAATAAACAGTTTTTGTATCTGATGTTAGTGGTCTTGCTAATACCTTAAAACCACTGAGGAGAAGTGCCGCCATCTTAAACTGGAATTCGTTTCCAAAGCTTTTTGGCAAGGTGAAGCCTGTGCCTTTTTGGCTTGAAGCTGATCCAACACTGTCTGCTTTTCTGGGCACCCAGCAGTGAGCAGTATAAACTCTCCACAGATGCCCAACAGCTGTCAGGGTGGGAGCTATTTAAATTTTTTTTAAATCATCAGCCCTCTGTCAAGCTGACAAGCACATTAAAGTGAGACAACTCACAGGTCTCATCTCAGCAACTACAAACTTACTGTTCTGGCCCCACCCCTGCAGTCTGAGCCCTCCGTGAACCACCTCAGTTACAAAAGCGATCGGTGCTTATCCTGTTGAAATATGCAGCAGAGGAGGCCTCTTTGGCCAATATGAGCTTCTTAAGATGCACTTGGACTTTTATGCATGTTCTGATGTTTAATGGGAGAACAGTATTTCATTGGTCACTAGTCTTTATTTAGCCTAATTTCAGCAGGTTGCCACTGTAAAAAAAGCCAAAACTATCTGGGGGCAGCCTGCACAGTCTATCATGTCTGGTGCTTAGGATTGGAAACACTCTAACCTTGCAGGGGTGGCAGTTTGTATATACAGGAATGTGTTTTCCACGCTCGTGACCTTGGAAAGATAACTCACAGTGCTGCCTGGCAATTATTACTTGAAGACAACAGGCCCCAGCGCTCCTCCTGAGAAACTGGGCTCTGTCTTCCCTTTCCTTTTAGTGGAATATCCCAAGACTACCGAGAAATATGAACATTGGAAAGAGGGTCGCTTAAAGGAAGGTTATGAATTATTTTCCCCAGAACAGAGCAAGTAGCAGCACTGAGGTGAAAGGACTTCAGGGGGTTTCAGTGTTAACTTACTGCTTAATGAAACACCTTTGCTCTAGTTTCAAGGGAAGTTGTTCCGTTACTGTTTTGATAATACACAGAAAAATCCTTCCGTGCTCCTTCAGCTTTACTTTTGCCATATCAACACGCCTCCCTCTACAGCCTAACAAAACAAGCTTCAGTCACAGCTGGCACCTCTGCCCAGCATGACCATGTTCCTCCTTCCTCACTGACAGCTCTTGCTGCTGCAGTAGGTACTATCTTTTTCCACCTCCTTACTTTCTAAAGTTAATATGGGACAATTCCAGCTTTTGCTACTAAAGCTTTGAACAAAACCCCCCAGGTTGTACTGTACTACTGGTAAGCCTAATCATTAACTTCTAGTCCTTTCAAACAGAAGGCTCTAAGGAATGTGGCAATGAGATGTTATGTGTGAAGAGAGAAATAGCAGCGCAAATACTGTTCTTTTTTCTGAAGAAGTTTACAGTCTGGTGGTACCATGGAATTTAGAAGAAACTGCATCTTCACCCATTTTCGTACTCAGGACAGTGACTTTGGGTTGGAAGAACTGACACTAACAACATGCACTGGTTTAGCAACAGGAAAAAAGAAAAGGTTTTGTGTGTTGGTCCCGTTCTGGAAGAGCATGGCTGGGAGCAGTTCTGTATTTCCTTTTACATTAAGTTCTTCACTTCATTTGGGCAATGTAACATCTGCAACAGTAACTCCTCTCCTGTTCACAGCTGGTGTAACACTGAGGTCACGTGTAAAATAGCCCTACTTTGCTCTTGTAAATACGTGCGTGTTTCCAATGTGACTTGTTGTCAAACAGAGCACCCAGATCAGATATTCTGGAACCTTCCTCGTCTCTTTGTTTTGCTCAGTTCTAAGTTCAGAGCATAAGTCTTTGCCTATAAGTTCAAGAAGTATTCTTGTCTGTTGCATGTAATATTTAATTAAACTTTTTAAGAAACTCCACTGCTGAAGTATGAGTTGCTTCTCTACTATCTTGCAGGAGTTCTATGCTAGTCTGTTAAGTGCATGAATTGATATTGCTTTTTATACAAAGCAGTTTTAGTAAAAGGAGTGACATGGGCAAGAAGATCTGAGTCACAGCACGTCACCTCCCCTAAAGCATGAAAAACTCTCAAGGAGTGGCAATAGCCTACCTGAAGAGAAGCTTTACCTTGGTATGAAACTTTTCCTTTTACCACCTGAACTCTGACTGTGCACAGGCTGTTTTATTAAGAAAATGTATCTGCCCTTCAACTTGTGGAAGTTAGTTCAAGTTAACTAGTGAGTTTTTGCTGCAGTTGGATGCCAACCATGGAATTTTAGTTACAGGCAAATTTTTTTTATTTAAAGCTGTGTACAATAGTTTTAACATAAAAGCAGAACCAGAGATGGGGAGAAAAGGGGGGGAATAAAATTATCTACAAAAATAATCTCAGTAATAACAGACCAAATTCCATATTGTACAGCATTTCTGCAGAAGGGATGATGGCTTTTATCGAGACGCTCTCTTCTTTCTTCTCCTTTTGTTAAATGCTTTCTTACTTGTATTTTCTGGTTTCGTGCTGGTCTGTGTTCTGTCAGCAAACAACATTTGTGTCAAAGGAAATGTACTGAACAGTTTTACTATTTCAAAAGAACACATGATGACCATCCAGAACTGGGCAACCACCCACCACACCCTGATCTAAGTTGTATGTTCATTTCTAGGACAACAACGAGGCTTTTCCATGCCTAGTGCAGGGATACAGCAGCAAACCTCACTTCTGGGGGTTAAAACTTAACATTAGCTCTAGTGGAGCATGTAGAATCTCTGAAGCATCTCTTTGGAATGATTAAGATTAGTCTATCTATCGCTCTTCCAGGCAGCTGGAGGCCAGCCAGGCTCTGGCTTCTCAGGACAGGAGTGAACCAGCCTAGATTTAAACCTCTTTGCTCTTGGCTATCTCTGTTGTCCTGCTGACCACTTGAAACCTTCCCTGGCCTTGCTGGCATCCTGTCCTTCCTGGAAATACTCCTTACAAACTCCTCTTCCCTCCTGATTTCACAGGATGGTTACCTTGTTTTCCTTGGTACTTCCTGCGGTTCCAGAATGACAACTTCTTCCTCCTCGCTGTCCGACAGCAAAATGGGTTCATCTAAAAAACAAACAACCCAATCAACAACAAACTGCTGATCAGTGTGTGTACCAACAACAACTGTAACTAATAACCACAGCATTTTAAAAGAAATACTCAGATTGGCTTACTGATTCATTTGGAGCCCTCCCTTTACTACAGGAATCAAGTTTCTAAAAGAAGTAACAAGGTGAAGTAGAAACAGCAAATGTGTGGTTACAATGGCTTTTTCTTGCTAAGAATCTCTTAGTATTTGAATCTGAACACTTTAATTTTAGGCTTTTAAAGAGATATAACAGGCATGTCTGATATTGAGATCAGTAAATACTTACCCTTCTTAGTTTCCTTTGTCACACTTGTATCCTCAGTTTCTGTCTTCTGACACTCAAAAGCAGCTGCTTCACTTTCCCCTTCCTCTTCTGCTGCTTCTTCCTTCTCAGATTCTTCAAGGTCTCCCCAGGAGTTCTCTATCCCTTCCCCAATTTGGGCTGTCCCAGGAGTGTGCAATATTGGATTGGCAAAACTGCAGGAGTCAAGAAAAATCTTGGTGTTTGCTGGTAAAACTCTGTATTCTGAGAGCAAACCAAACACCTCTGGGTTTTAAGGTGTATCTTTTCTCCCTGGGAAGTGCCACTTCTCCAGTTATTGTAATCACCACAGTTCTGACCTCAGTTTTACCCTTTATACAAGGAATTACAGTAACTAAAAGCAGTCAGAACCAACCCCAAGATGCTGAGGATGTTTCCTCTGAAGGCTCCCCAAGCTGTGAGGAACCTTAGACGTGTGTTTAGCTCGTGGCGGTGTTAATTCAGGGAATGGGAAGCCTGGTTTTCCCCTGGATAATACCCCAAAAAAGATACACTTCGGAGGGAGGGTCAGCTTTAGCGATGATCTCTCCTGCTTGTTCTTCCACGTTGTTGGTGTCAACTGCAGCACTCTCCATTTTGAAGGCAGTGATCCTTTGGTTCGGGATAGATTCCGCGAAGCCGAACTTCCCACCTTCTTTCCTAGTCATTCAGGGACAGGCATTATTTCAGGATGTTTCACACCTAGAAATGGTTTCTCATTTTCAAATTCAAATATACTTGCTATTTAAATCAAATGCAAGTGTAAATAATTTGCTGTTCAAACTACAGGTTACTTCTTGGTGCATTTCTTAAAAATACCCCTTTCCACCCCTTCCCCAAACACTCACCTGGCTTTGTGGTCGTTTTCCAAGGCTTTCTGAATGAGTTCTGTTATTTCTGCGACTTTAACAGCTGTTATTTTACTGCATCTCAGAATCTGTTTGTTATACACGCAACAACAGCTTATGACTACGAAAGCAAGATGTTTTTAACTAAAACTGCAGAACACCATAGGAATCACAAACACTTAAATCACAGGAATTAAAAACAATTAAAATACGGCACTTAGCATGAGGGACTGGATTCACTGAGAATTAGGCAAAAGATTAATACACAACCTGCAGCTCTTCCTCAGAGTGCAATGGGAAATAATTTACAGATTCCCTCGGCCAAATCACAGGGGGAAAGAAAATAAATATGCAAACCTGACCAAAAACTATGCCTTTTCTACATTTCTTCCACTGCATGGTACACAGTACAATGCTCTTCCACTAGAACTGAAAATAATCTTTTCCAATAAAAGACTGATTTCATAGCTTCCAAATGGCAAGGGTATTGCTATATCAAGATTGCAGCACAGGAACTGGCAAAGGCAAAGGTCTACCTGGTCCTGCACCAGCATAACCACTCCACTGGACTGGATGGTACAAATTTCCCGGTGTTTATTCATGGCAATCACAAGGAGCCCATCCATCACACGCTCCTCGCGCTCACTTGGGTCCACCAACAAATAGGTCCTAGAATCAGGAACAGAAGGCAACAGCAAAAGTCTGAGGCAAATTGCTACCAACTAAACACAGGAGCTGGTTTACATATCAGTAACTATGGGTATACTGCCCCTGAAAGCTTCCTACATCACCTGTGGAAAGCTGCTGGTTGGTTACACCGTGCAGCACACAGAAATATCTCCCCCTGGCACTTCACCTCTGATAAAATCTTTTAAGAAATCAGCTTGTCAATATAAGTATTCTAAGGAGTTTTCTATGTTTGAAATAAATTCTGCTTAATTAACAATAAGCTGGTGGCGTCAAAGGACTTCAAAATCTTACCCTTGGTGGAAGAAGGCAAAACTGACACAAATGGGCATGTGGTGGATACTCAGGGGGACGGGATCACGTTCCTCAGGAGTGTACTTGGAAAGGAATCGGCCCAGAATACAGTTATTTACTGAACACATTTAATTTTAAAAGGTCACACTGTACGAAGATAGCTAAAGAAATTAAATAGAACGTACCACAGTTACTTCCTCTCCTTGCACAGACACATCTGGTCTGCGGAAATGGCACAGAGCTACGATTCCTGCTATGCTGGCAGCATCGGTGATGTTCCCATCGTGGTTTAACAGGTGCATGTCCAGGCGAATTTGCCAGACCTGGGAAAAGTACAGAACTGCTTGGTAATCCGAGACGTGATTCTACAGAAGTTGCTGTTTTTCACGACAAGTTCATATTTTTTTTTGGCCACAAAAAGAA